GAGTAGGGCTAAAAGCTGTGTCTGACGACTCGACTGTCCCGGAGGTCAAACCCTCCCAAGGACCGGTACTGACCGGCGGGCTGCTCGGTGTGGCACGGTAGGCCTCGAAATCCGAGCTGTGGGTTGTACAACAGACCGTCTAAGTCTTGAGAGACCTGCTGATCGCGTCGTCCTGTCTGCGACGTTAAATAATTCCTGAGGAGTTCGGGGGATCTCCTTAAATGCCTCCTGATCAGCAACAGGTCTAGTAGTGACAGCCATAGTTGGGTCCAAGCTAGAGACCCTAGTTGGCAGGATCCCTGTCCGGATTCTGTGAGTCTTAGATTGAGTCAATAGGTTGTCAGTCWGGGGTCAGAGTCTACGTGGTGAGGTTTGGAACCGTTGATCCGGTTGTGTACTGATCACCATGGTTGAGACCCGTAGTGGGAAAGGCACTAGCCCCTACACCAAGGAGCAGCAAGAGAAGATGGCCGCCCTAGTGAAAGAAAACAAGGAGAGGAAGGAGCTCGAGAAGCAGGCGAAGCTAAAGGCTATCGCAGAGGAGCAGGCGGCAAAGATGAAGAAGTTAGAGGAGGAGATGAAGAGAGTTCAACAGGAGGAGAAAGAGAGGAGAAAGGCTGTCGAAGAAGCAGCAGCAGCAGAAGAGGAGAAAGAGAGGATGCGTATTGAGAGTAGAGAGGGAAGTAGCGACACGAAAAAGGATACAGACGCTGAGATGGAGAAGAAGATAAGTGAGTGGGTCGCTAATTTATCGTTGGGAGAAGATGAGGAGGCAAAGTCTTATGTGACTCAGGAGGAGAGGGAGGCGCTAGCCAGTGAGCTAGCAACAATGAAGGACCCTATGGAACGGCGAGAAAGGGAGGAGGAGCAGAAATTGGCATGGAAACTGAGGATGAAGAGGGAGAAGAAGAGGAGGAGAGAGGAAGTCAACAAACTGACCGCAGAGGTGGCGAAGGTGCAGGAGTGTAGGAAAGAAGTGGAGGCCCAGGCAGATGACAAGGCCAAGTGGGATAAGGTATTGGGGTACCTAGAGGTGCTGAGCAAAGCCTGGATGGAGGAGCGCCAGGCCAGTTGGAGCCAAGACGTAGCTTTGCGTGCCATGCGGTCGGGATTTAGAGACTTTGCGCGATATAGTCACCCACATTGGGGGCGACGTCAGGCAATTGAGGGACAACATAGGGAAGTTTTGTGAGGGCGCCATCGAGGGTGCCAAAGCAATAGTTGCTGTAGAGGGCGAGGGCAGACCCCGTAAAGAGCCTGTAAAGCTCAAGTTTCGAGACGCAAACGGGGGAAAGAAGGAGGAGAACTTTGACAACTGGGAGGCCAGTGTCAATAGTTACATATATTTACAACACATCCTGTCAGAGGAACAAGTCCCCGTGGCCTTCCAGGCCCTTAAGGATGAGGCGGCTAGTTTTGCCAGGTCCCTTGCGCGTGTAGCCGGTTGTGAAAACAACCTGGTTGCATATTCAAGAGTCACCCCTCTTCCTCAATTTTTTAAGCTCCTGAAGGAGCGATTTGTAGACCCAACGAGAGGCGTTCGCGCCTCTGATAAGCTACAAACGATCCACTCGCGACAGTGGAGGAGTGCAAGAGCACTCAAGGGTACCATGGACGACTTGGTAGCCGTCCCAGACCATGGGGTCACTGAGACCCAATTGGTCCAGTTGTTTTATCGTGCCATGCCAGAGGCCCTGCGTGGGCATTTCTTTGACAAATCTCAACAGGCCGACATCACTTATGATGCATTGAGTAGAGAAGTCGTCCTGTATGAGTCAAAGTCCATGCCAGTTACCACCTTCTGGCACAAGGACTTAGATAAGGGGAAAAGGTGGAAGGGTCGTACCATCTCGGGCCAAGTGAGGGCCAAGGATCATATGATCCTTACTTTAGAAGAAGGTGGTATTGATGAGGTCCCATACAGTCAGATTGAGTGGGGCCTAGAGGAAGAGGACAGTAGCGTGGGACAGGGGAGGTCCTATGTTGTTGTCGCGGCTGGAGGGAGGCCGCAAGGTAGAGGAGGAGGCCAGGGCCAAAGGGGCCAGGCCATGGGAGGCCAAGGACCGGGCGCACAGGGGGTTGGCGGACAGGGAAACCGCCAAGTGGGAGGTAGGGGTCAAGGTCCCCCGCCAAATCGCTAGGGTTCTATTCGGTCCCCACAGCGACGAGGTGGAAGGGCACCTCAAGGAGGATGGCACCCAGGCTTGCCACAGGGCAGGCCCTGGGAGGATTTGGGCTTGGACCAGTGTTTATGGCAGGAACGCGTGAACTTGGGTCAGTGCGTGTTTTGTGGTGACCCAGCCCACGTAATTAATTTTTGCCCAAAGTATAGACAGGCCCGTTGGGCTGCCCACCAGTCAAAAGGCAGCTGCCAGTAGGGGTTGCAACTGCCCCTACTTTAAGGCCATGTGGAGAAGTAAGTGCGCGCGAACAGGACACTCCCAACCCTCATGAGCCTATGGCAGAGGTTGCAGGCCCGTGCCTAGCTAGCTGTCCAGAGACCGCTTGTGTTAGCGTCTCTCTAGGCACGTCCCTCACAGGTGTGGCAGAAGAGTTGAAGGAGAGAATGCCAGCCTGGGCCAAAATGAAGAAGGAGAGTAAGGGACAACTAATCTTAGTAGACGTAGAGGTGTTTAGAAGTAGAGTAGGGGCCCTTATAGATTCAGGGGCCACCCGCAGTTATATTAGCCGTAGGGCGCTGAAGAAGCTGAGGCTAGGATTGGAAGTCCAAAAGTTAGCATACCCTATAGTCAGTGTCCTCGCAGACAACCGCACGATGCGAGTCGAGGACGACGTAGAGGGAGTCCAGGCGTATTTTCGCCTAAAGAAGGATGGAAAGGTGAGGAAAGTTATCCATTCCTTGACTCTCCTCGTACAGGACGACCTTCCTTTCGACGTAGTATTGGGAATGGATTGGGGAGAGGCAACAGGGGCCACACTCCATTTGAGAGAGCATGAGTGTAGGCTCCCTAGCCCGTCAGGCGAGGTTAAGACTGCCCGCCTGTTTCATGTGTCAGGTGTAAACAACACCTTGGCACATTGCTGTCTCAGTGCTCCCGCGTTCACGCGACTAGTGAAAAAGGAGCAGTTAGAGGATCAGGTCTTTGTAGTTTATGTTAGACCTGTCACTGAGGCCAAGGAAAAGGATGGTTCCACAAATCCAACGATTGCCAAGCTGCTGGAAGAGTTCAAAGATTTGATTGAGTCGCCCACAGGAGTAGTGTCGCGACCCATCCAGCACAGGATAGAGTTAGAGCCTGGTAGTAGAACTCCTAAGGGTGCAGTTTACAGGATGTCCCCTAGAGAGTTAGAAGAGTTTCGCAAGCAGTTAGACGAACTCCTTGAGAAAGGTTGGTCTCCTTTTGGAGCACCAGTCATGTTTGTCCCAAAGAAGGAAGGAGAGTTGCGTATGTGTATAGACTATAGGGGTTTGAATGCGATTACTGTGAAGAATGTTGAACCACTGCCCAGGATAGACGATCTCTTAGATTGGGTGCAGGGTTGCAAGTACTTCTCTAAGATAGACTTGAAGTCCAGATACCATCAGATAGAAGTTCATCCTGATGATCAGTACAAGACTGCATTCCGGACTCGTTATGGGCACTATGAGTTTATAGTGATGCCCTTTGGACTAACCAACGCGCCAGCCACTTTTCAGCGTTGTATGAACGATCTGTTCAGACCATGGTTAGGCAAGTTTGTAGTAGTCTATTTAGATGATATATTAGTTTTCAGTAGGACCCTCCAGGAGCACCAAGGTCATCTGAGGCAGGTCTTGGAGAAGCTACGAGAGGCTAACTTCAAGATCAACGCAAAGAAGTGCGAGTGGGCCAAGACACAAGTCCTGTACTTGGGCCACGTGCTGGACGGAGATGGCATTAAGCCAGAGGACAGTAAGATAGCGGCGATTAGAGATTGGCCGACGCCCCGCACATTGACAGAGTTGCGGTCGTTCCTAGGCCTAGCTAACTACTATCGAAAGTTCGTAAGGAACTTTTCTACTATCGCCACTCCCCTGCGCAGGTTGCTTAAGAAAGAGGCAATCTGGCAATGGGACAAAGATTGTACGTATGCGCTAAAGAGATTGAAGCGCACACTAATAGAGTACCCTGTCCTCAAAGTAGCAGATCCGTCTTTGCCATTTGTCGTCACCACGGACGCAAGTCGGTATGGGATAGGCGTCGTGTTGCAGCAGAATGACGACAATGGCTATAGACCCATAGAGTTCATGTCCGCGAGGATGCCCTAAGAGAAGGTAGCCACCTCGACATACGAGAGGGAACTCTACGCTCTCAGGCAGGCTCTAGACCACTGGAAGCATTACCTGCTTGGGAGGCACTTCAAAGTGTATTCTGACCATGAAACACTTAGATGGTTAAAGACTCAGGCCAAGATGACACCTAAGTTGACTAGGTGGGCCGCAGAGATAGACCAATATGACTTTGAGCTTAAGCCAGTGAAGGGCAAATACAACGTAGTTGTGGATGCTCTAAGTAGAAGATCAGACTACTTTGGAGCTCTAGTACACTATCAGGATATAGGGAGAGACCTGCAGGAGAAAGTGAAGCAAGCGTATGCACATGACCCTATCTATAGCGACCTCCTAAAGAGAGTTAGAGAGGCCCCAAAGACTGAGCCAGATTACCACACTACAGAGGGATTACTGTTTGAGAAGACTAACGTATTCGACCGCCTGTGCGTTCCCAACAACGAAGAGATTTGTAGTTTGATCCTAGGGGAATGCCACGATAATGAAGGACATTTTGGTTGGCAAAAGACTTTAGCCAACTTGATGCATGCGTAAACCTGGCCAGGAATGAAGAATGACTGCATAGAGTATGTCCGCAGTTGCAAAGTTTGCCAGAGGAATAAGACTACTACGCGTGCCCCTCTAGGTCTTCTCAGACCCTTGCCTATTCCTGATCAGCCGGGAGACTCAGTGTCCATAGACTTCATGGACACCCAAGTCAAGAGAAGACATGGTAAGAGCCAGGTCATGGTCATAGTTGACCGTTTTAGTAAGTATGCAGTTTTTGTTCCTCAGCCTGCAGAGGCACGTACAGATTTAGTTATACATAAGTTCTTTGATTTCTGGGTTAGTGAGAATGGAATCCCATTGTTGATAGTTAGCGATAGAGATAGTCGCTTCACCAGCCAGAACTGGCAAGAACTCGTGAGAGTCTACGGATCTAAGTTGTTGATGTCGTCTGGCCGCCACCCAGAGACTAACGGTCAGACAGAACAGATGAAAAGATCCTACAACAAGTTCTGCGCATGTACATTAGACCAGATCAGATCAACTGGATGAGATGTTGCCTAAGGTAGCTAGTGCATACAACAACAGCGTGCATCTATCCACCTGCCGCACTCCCAATGAGCTGCACAAGTCCTTTAGACCACGCAGACCGTTTGAAGGACTGAACCGGGATCAGATTCACAGGCTACCGCCCGGTACTAGGGAGTTTGCGATACAGCACGAGAAAGAACTAGCAACAGTTGTAGAGAACCTCAGGAAGGCCCAGCATAGAATGGTAGAAAAGGCTAATAAGCACCGTCGCCCATCGCAGTTTCAGGTAGGCGACTTAGTCTGGATCAAGGCTAAAGAGTTTGCACCTGAGGAAAACATCTCGCAGAAGTTACTGCCTGCATATAGAGGACCGTGGCCAGTTCTAGAAGTCAAGGGCGGAGAGGATGGACCGTCCTACACAATAGAAATTCCAGCACACCTCCACACATACCCTGTGTTTCATGCTTCAAAGCTGCTGCCGTGTGTCACAAGTCAACAGTTCCCTTCAAGACGATCCATGATCCCCCCGGATATGGATGGAAGTTATGACATTGACGGCATTGTAGATGAAGATGTCTTTAGAACAGGAGGTAGAGGTCGTCCCCAGAAACAGTATAAAGTCCGGTTTGCTTATCAAGAASYGGAAGACGACCGCTGGTTTACGAGAACAGAACTTCTAGAAACAGCTCCCGACRTAGTCAGRGCCTATGAACGTGATAGGAAGGGTAAAGGTCCTGCCTTGGACTGAAATATTCTCGGAGGACCTCGAATTTAGGACGGCGGGAGTGAAACGGTTTTCACCTTTTTGCAGTAGCAGATGCAGTACCCAGGGTTCGATCCCTAGACCTCACCCTACCCATGTACAGTATCTGTGTAGACCCCGAGAGTTGAACCTGTGACCATGTACAGTATCTGTGTAGACCCCGAGAGTTGAACCTGTGACCTGTGTATTCGTAGACAGTTGGTAGGTCTGTCATAGGTCCATAGGTAGCTGGGGTTTGATCTGTAGATCTATAGAGTAGAAGTCTTAGCGAGTTCCAGAAGTCTAGCTGTAGTCCTTCTAGAAGGTCAGCAAGTGGGCAAGTGGTCAAGTGGCCAAGTGGCGAGTCAACTGGTGGACTAAACTGCAGTGCAATTGCAGTACGACTACGGTAGGTTAGCAGTGAGTCCACAGTCAGTCAGCGGTAAGGTCCAGTCAGTCCCAGTTCGGTCCAGCAAGTACCACGGGGGACTGTGAGCACCATGGGCCGATGGCAAAGGGCAGACCAACGAGTTTCCGAAGTATAAATCAAGAGGCAGCGCCCAGCCTTTCATTCATTCCTGCGTGAGCCATGCGGAAGCGCTGTCACAGCGACTTGTGCAAGGAGGTCCGCAGTGAGCCTGGAGGACGCAGTGGGCGAGAGAGAGAAGGAGCTTAGTATAGCGATAGGGTAGAGGCAGCCATAACTGCCATAGCTGCAGTTAGTGTGAAGTGTGTGTGTGTGTATGTGCGAGTGTTCAGAGTGACGCGTGTGGGATATCCAGGGTGATCCGGTGTGTGTGAACAGTGAGTTGTTTGGGCGCTGAGTCGCCATAGTCAGTTGAAAGTGAACTCGTATCTGGAAGCCATATCTGAGTTTTAAGTGGGCGCATGTCGCCAGTTTGCTGCGCTTCTGTTTACATGCATGAAAAGTGTGAATAAGAACGAGTCTGATTGCAAAACACCTGGGAATTATGCTAGGTCAAAATCAGGAATTTGATCACTGAAACTACCAATCAATTGCTGTCGATGTTGTCACTAACGTGTCCAGTTATCGTGACATCTTACCTGTTGTTCGGAGAACAAGTATGAAACCTGCAAGGGCGAAGTTAGGACAATAAGTTCCACGTGTTATAATCCTCAAATGAAAAATGAGTTTTTCAAAATGCAAAACTCAACTTCGAGAAATTACATGACTTGCTTCGAAAAATGAGTTTTTCTTAACGTCAGCCAGGGTTGCATACCCGCCGACCATCTACCCCGACCGCTGACCGTTTTGCAGCCTACCGGTAGGGCTGACCGGTCGGCAATCTGCCAGCCAGTCAGTAAGCAGCCATCCACTGATTTTTCTGAAAATCTGACCATGGTGCTGTACTGCGATTGCTGAGTACAGTCCAAATCCGCTGAGAACTTTGGGGATGGAGGGCGTTACAGGGGGGTTATGGGGTTGGTATTGGGGGGGTATGGAGGTGGTATAGGGGG